TTAAGTTCTAAACAACTGCATTTACTATTCACTTTTCCAGAGTGATATGATCTCTCATATCTAGCTGTCAAATATGATGCTACAGCCAGGAGGTGGTTAGCTTCGCCGACTGGAAACAGCCACCCTGGCTCTGTCTAAAGTTAACAAAACCTGCCTTCCTAGAAAGCTCACTAATTAACACGTTAGATCTTGTTAGTTAAAACGTCAATTTGTTGTTTTACAAGGGGTTTTCTGCTGGGCCACTCTTTGCCTCCTGTTCAAGAAATGTTTTAGTGAGCCTAAGAGGTGCTGGTAGGGGAATTTAGTTATTCTTGGACGGAGCCAGGCTATCCAGTCTTCATGCTGGGCTAAGCTAACTGGCTTCTGGCTGTAGCTTCGTATTTATCGTACAGACATGAGAGTGGTATCAATCTTCTCATCTAATCTTGGCAAGAGAGTCAGTAAATGTAAATCGAAAAATGTCAAGCTAGCCCTTTAAGTTTGGCCAATGCCAACAACACACTTTAGCAAACTTAAAGGCTTAAAACTGAGTCATGGCTAACCTTTCACAGGATAGTTCAGCTCTGCTTCATCATAACACACTGAGGGAATTATTTAGTCATCTCAATTATTCTAATAAATTCAACAACTTACTACTGCTGCCACTACTGGTGGGGAACTACGGTTTTGTATATCTCTAGTACTTGTTCAATAATAAAGCACATTAAAGACTGCAATTGAATACATTATTTTTGTTTGTTTCTAATACATGCAGTCTGATTTCATCTCATGTCCCAAATTAAATGGCTGACTTAATGAATTCATTTAGAGAAGCAGAAATCCCTCTCTAAATGACATTTTCCTTGCATCATTTGGTGCATTAAAACTAAATTTGATACCAATCCAAATATGTTTCAACACCATGCACAACTGATGACAGAGCTGGACTATCCTCAGTGGAACTCAACTCTACAAATAAGTTAGAGGTGGCAGAAAATAATGTGACTGTGTGTAAAACTCTAAACAGGAGACTTTTGTGGACTGCAAACGTAATTGATATTCTCTTCGACAGACCACTGGAGAGAGTCAGTCCATTTGATAATTGTTTTGCTTTTAGAGGTGCATGTCTCAGTGGATGCCTTAATATCCATATGTAGGTGTTTATGTCCCTCATTTTGCAATTGACAAATCTATGTTTTTGCTGTGTTGATTCTTTATTCTACTCTTAATACAGTGAAGATTCAAACAATGCAGCAAAGAATAGCTGTCAGGCAAGTACAGATACATAAATTAGACATGTCACCATCAGATGATTGGGAGTGGATGTCAGCTTGTCAGTGTTTGTGTACATGTCACTGAAAAGGAAGGCTCTGGGCCTTGTACCTATCTGTAATGGAGCTGTCAGCTCTCACACAGATTACAGCTCTTTAGATAGGAGACCAAGAAGCATTGCTTCTGGGTAGCTAGGTTGGCTGCACAGATTTCTTTAACATTTCCTTTGGAGACGAGGAACAGGAAAGACTGGCAGAGGGGAAAAGTGAGAGATGCAAATAGAGAAAACGGAGACGGAAATTCCTGCCTTCCGTCTAATTGTAAAGAAACTGTGGATGGCAATTTCAACCCCGAGTGCTTTCACACCATCAGAGTGAGCTCATCTCTTGCTTTATTTGCTCCTTGTAGAAGGTGTAAAAACTTGGTTTCCCTTGACTGTTCCTCTGACTGGTATCGCATCACTGAAACTCAATGAGTCCCCCTTTTAACTCAGCGACACATTAGGGAAAACCTAATGCAGACTGGAACAGAGGCCAAGAAAGAGACTGAGCTGTATCTGCCAAGCACTCATCCATGGATCGCTCTGGATTTAGTGATCAGGTGTATTCTTTGGCTCTTGGTAAACAGGAGAGGTGACAGATGCCAACGCCTGCTAGAACACCTGTCACAGCACCAACCTCGACATCATTACTGAGGAAGTGACAATTGCAATCGTAACCTAGGAATGTTTTCAATTTATAAAGCCTGACAGGGAGACCATGTACCAGATTTCTAATGTTATTTGACCTGCTATCTTGTTGCAATAGTATATGTATTACTGCTAATATAAGAAATTGGCTATAAATAAAATATACTAGCCTCAACATAACATTTTAATTAAACATACGTCAGCTTTCGAATTGCCTGGACATCGCCTCCACCTTTCAGCAGAAATGTGTTCTCCATCTAAATCCCCAATGTCATTATGCAGTCCCCCAAACTTGTTATTCACAAGCCAGCTCACAGGACATGGAACAAAAGGCACATTTCGATAATGCAGCTAGAGACTGTTTAACTACTTGACTCTGTAAGATGACTATGGGGACTGGACAAATGATGTGCATAGAAAACTCAATTGGCTTATTCTAGTTTTAGATTCAAAACGCCGCTGGGAGCCAGCTGTGCCGAGTCATCCCACCACCATCTGCAGCGTGATGGGCTCCTACTGCACCCGCTCCAAAATTTACACACTGAAAAAAAAAGAAAAAGAGAAAGGTCTCTGACAGAAAAAGTGTTTTTGAAGTTAATGTTTTTGCTGTAATGGTGGTTGTTGTTCTTTAGGTAGCAATGCCCTTTCACTTTTAACAAAACACACCTGAGACAAACCTGTAAATAACAGATGGAGAAGAGAAGTGGTCATCCCTTTAGGCCCTTTAGAACTAATGCAGTCATTAAATAATAATGTCCACTGAACTTAAGAGATCTCGGTGTCCCACCATTGTGGACGTGATGCACATATCAGAAAGACAAAGAGACCCAGTGAAAACAGTTGTAAGATGTGTAGGTTGAAGGTGTTATTATTCATCTGCTTTTCTGTGAGTCTGAGGGAGGCAATGTATCTTTGAGGTATGATTAATTTATGTGGGCTATGTCAGGGGACTGAGCGTAGCCTATTTTTCAGCTTGACAACTAAACTGAAGGTTTGCCGTATTGGGGAGAGAACAGCAGTAGGCCTGGGCCTTAAATGGAATTTGGTGCACACACACACACACACACACACACACACACACACACAGCAACAGAGATACATACAAAAACAGGGACACATTATGTACACGATTCTGCTCTTAATTTCCGATTCAAATTGAGACTTTCATAATTGTATGCATCATTACTGTGGGGAAGATAAGGGAACAGTTTTTGAAGAAAATTGCTATGCTGATCTAAAACAAATAAATCCAAACTTTCACTGCTTCTCTCTCGCTCTCGTCTAGCAGCTGTCTCAGGGGAGTAATAAGAGAGACTGATATTTCAAATTAACTCCATGCCTTTTGCATCATTTGCTGAAACTGCAAAGTCAGATTCAATGGACTGCTGCTTACTCACTTTCTGCCTCAAAGACTCAAATTCACAGCAATGATTTGTATATTGAGACATACTGATATGTACATTTCATTTGAGAAATCATAGCAATTTTAAACACAAAGATGAGAATTTGCAATCTGTCTAGAGGTTTTAAGTGTCATCAAGTTTAAGAACACTTTGTAACTTCAAAAACGTTTTGCTGAAACCTTAATAGTTCATGTTAATTAGACTAAATTGGAGTATAATGATTGACAAGATTTAATGCCAAATTTAAATTAAAATCTACGTTGAGCAATACCAATGAATGCTCACCTGGAGACTCTGAAATGATTCATCCACAATTACAGGTCCTATAGACAGAGCATATGAATGTACTAATTTGATAATTGTATTGCTGTTCTGAGGGAATAACTTGCTTGACTTAATCCTTGGCTTCATATCAGTAGCTGTTCATTTCCTGTTTTGTGATTAAATGATGTCTGAGGTCTTGCTCTGCTGTTATTCATTACCAGTGCTTATTATGTCTTATTTATTAGACCTAAACCCAGACGCATATTGACAAAGGGCCTGGACGTGCAAGCGATTAAAATGTGTAGCCGCAGCTGCATAATCATTCCGCCCTATGCCCTCCAAAGCACTCTTCTCTCACTACATGTTTTGTGCGCTCATCACTGGGCAGCAACATTTCATAAATCAAACTAGACAAGATTCTTCTTCTCAGTGCCCAAATCTGTGGTTTTTACAGTGATGTTATGATGAATGACTGGGAGAGAGTACATTGGAACAACTACACTTTTAAAAAACAGATACTGTACAACCGTGACAGATGACGGAAATATACCACACACTCAATACCAGCTGTAGCCAAAAACATTTCTATGCTATATTTTTTGTCAGAAGGGGAAGTAAACAAGTTCATTAACCCAAGTGCTGTAGTGAATTATAATTCTGAGGATCTTTACATTGCTATGAAATTTAGACTACTTAATACTTAACTCCACTACAATTCAGAGGGAAATACTGTATTTTGGACCCCACTACACTGTAATATCTAACACTTTGAAAGGAACTACTCTGCATTATGAATACTTTCTTTTGATACTTTAACACATGCCACTGTAATAAAGTACAGCCTCATAGAGCTACTAGCGTGGCTGTAGACTCTTAGTCTTTTTGAGATACTTAATCTCTTGAATAAGTAGGCTTCGCCCTGTTGTTAAATTCAGCAGAATAGCACACTGTTGTAGAATCCTTCTGTTTTAGCATGCTTGTGCATTGCTATAAGGTCAAATGTGTACGATTTAGGGGGGTTTATTGGCACAATATGGCATAAATTAAATATAATATTCATAGATAAGTTTTCCTTCACCTTAGAATAAGACCTTCTTATCTACAGAATGAGTGGATCCCCTTTCACTACCATGTTTCTATAGTTGCCCAGAACGGACAAACCAAACACTGGGTATAGATCGAACCTTTCATGAGTTTCGTGGCCATCATAGTTTCTGATACGCTTAGAAGGCGACCTGTATTCAGTTAGTTGCAATCTGTAACTTTGCCACTAATTAAATCCTACATGCTCGACCTTTAAGGTAGTGCCTTGCTCTTTTATATCTGTATTTGCTGCTGTCTCTTTAACAGAGAAAGTAAAACAAGTTGCATGCATATGAATATTACTCAGACAGTTTCATGACGTTTCCACATGTCATCTTTTAACAGCCAATTGTTTCATACAGTACCAGTCAAATATACTTTCTAAACTGTATTAATGCACTGATGAGGCTTTTCTCCAGCGTGGATACAGTGATGAACCTTCAAGTCATCCAAGTGACAGGAACTATTCCCACACTTGTCACAGAGGTGTGGCTTTTCTCCAGAATGGGTGAGCTGATGATCCTTCAAATGTAATAACTGTCTGAATCTACACCCACACCGGTCACAGAGGCATGGCTTTTCTCCAGTGTGGATCCGTTGATGAATCTTCAAACTCGATGAGTTTCTGAAACTCTTCCCGCACTGGTAACAGAGGTGTGGCTTTTCTCCACAATGGACGAGTTGATGAGTCTTCAAATGTGACAAACGACTAAAACTACGCTTACACTGTTCACAGAGGTATGGTTTTTCGCCAGTGTGGATACTCCGATGAGACTTCAAACCCGATGATAGCCTGAAACTCTTCCCACACTGGCCACAGGAGTATGGTTTTTCGCCAGTGTGGATACTCCGATGAGACTTCAAACTCGATGATAGCCTGAAACTCTTCCCACACTGGCCACAGGAGTATGGTTTTTCGCCAGTGTGGATACTCCGATGAGACTTCAAACTCGATGATAGCCTGAAACTCTTCCCACACTGGCCACAGGAATATGGTTTTTCGCCAGTGTGGATACTGCGGTGAGACTTCAAACTCGATGATAGCGTGAAACTCTTCCCACACTGGTCACAGAGGTGTGGCTTTTCTCCAGTGTGGATACACTGATGTTGATACAGCTGTTCTCCACTAATACTGTCCTCATCCCCATCCTGAGGTCTATCTGGGGTATTGCAGGTCTGATGAAGCACAAAAAAAGAACATGCGTTTTAATGATACCGTTATAAGTTAGTTCATAAGAAGAGTCTTAGTCGAAGCACTTTTCATTGGTCAGATAGTTGCAGAAAAACAACTGAGAAAGTTTAAGTAACTTACCTCTGCTGATGAACTCATTTTGCCACTGGTATATCTCTTATCTTCTACTAGATATTCCTCCATCCATGAATCAACTCTGACATAATCAAATAAGATAGTAGAAGATAGTGAGTCTGGGAAATCCCCCAAAACTGCAATAATAAGAGAAATTAAGACTTATTGCCCTGACACATAAAAGTGGCCTTGAAAACATTAGTATGACAAAGAGATCACTACTAACTGTGCAATAAGGGTAATAGCTTTTTTCTTGTTAATTTTTAAAGTGCAGGTTAAAAACAAACTAACGTTATGTTTGGAAAATATTAATGGGAACAATAAAACAATGTTAGCTAAGTGGGGCTATTCCAGTCAGTCTTTATTTGGGCAAACAAAAAAGGGCCTTCACTTCACAACAGGACCAGTTAACAATTTACAGAACAACTTAACTAACGTTAATCAAATGATTTCACTAGATAAGGTTACCAAAATGTTTTACTGTTTAAAATGAACTTTTCTTACCGTTAATGTTTGAATGAAGTTTATAGTCTTCTGCAGGATAATGGATGTCTTCACAGAGAGGTTTGACAGATACACTGATGGTTTCCACGGTAACAAAGACCAAATCCAATTCAAAAGGTGCCAATTCTAGTTTGTTTGTATTTTCAAAATAAACTCGAAAACCATAAAGCATTCCATGCAAAAAATATATATTTCATATACTATAAATATGAATCATGACAGATTTTCAAAACTGTGCGCTGAGCAAAGCTTTACACCAGAGTAATAAACTAATTTAAAATGAAAGGAGAAAAAAAACAACTGTTATTTCTGAATCATTATGGGAATTTGTCACTTTATGCAGCTATGTAAATAAATGCATGCATTGACTGACAATTGACAAAAATGGGGTCAATTACCTATTTATAATGTGTTTTGTTTTTTGTTTTATTGCTGAAACATTACTGACTGATGTCTGGATACGGCAACAGCTGCACATTCAGATGCTGCAGCCAGTAGCCTAGCTCTATTAAACTAATGTTTTGTCATTTGTTGTTTTTGCAGCATTATTGCTATGACAGAAATAGCCTAATCTCATCAGAAAAGAATGATGGTTTGGATTAAGAGAGAGACATTGAGACAATCCACCCAGCCCACCACGGTGGATGCCGTCACCCCAGGAGGAGAGGGAAGAGAACCAGGATAGAAGCAATGCTGGCCAAGCTAATGTCCGGTCTGGACTAACTAGGACTCAGGCTGACCAAACAATGGGAAATCAGAGACCGGTGCCCACATCTTTACAGAGACCTGCTCCATCAACATCCCGGGTCCTTCTTTTTCATTGCGTTTCAGGCACTCTTTTGCAATGTGTTCATCACGCATGTTCATAGTGGCCTAGCTCACATGCACTCAAAGTGGATGGACAATGTTTCTTTTTATGTAAAGATGATAACTGATATATATCCATCTAGTCACATGTTATATGCATGCTGATGTTGAAGGATTCTAATGTGCTGACCAGCCTACTGACTGCAGAATTTGAGTCAAAAATACAAAGGCTACCAGCTGAGCAAAGCCAGCTTTTTGGACAGAGCTTCATCTCATCATATCTTTTTGATCAATTGCATGTTGTCTTTGTTCAAATTAAACTGCAGACAAACATAGCTAAGTGATTAACAAAGCATTTACGTAGACTTAATTCAGCTTTATATTATAATAGAGTTCACGAGTACAATCCATTATGCATTTTTAGACATAATAGTTATTTATCTTAATGAGCAGCACATTATGCAACATTTACTAATGTTCAGTAAAACTATTTGTTGCCCTGGTTATGACAGAGAAAAGTCACAAAAACAAAAAAGCAATTCATTTATTATTGATTTTCTCTATGATCCGAAGCACTGATGTAACTGTATTTAATCTGAAAGAGCGACACATCATGATGAAATAAAACAACATACTGGACATCAAACCCCCACCCTGCTGGTGGTAGTACTTTAAACTTCAATGAGTTTTGTATGCCTATGTGTGTGAATGTGTGTCAGTGGTGCATTATTACCTACCTACAGCCAGCAGGGGCTGGTAGTGGTTGATGTTTTTGGTGGTAAGAGGTGGACACATGCGGATGGCAAACGGTGGCAGTGGCAGACCAGACAGCAGGCCAGTCAGCAGGAACTTCAACTGGACCTCTTGCTGGTTAGATGACGGAGGAGGAGCCTCACCAGCTATTAAGGTCTGACCTAGAGATAAAACCACAACATTTGCTACCTAATTAATGGGGCAATAAAAAAAAAAAACACACACACAGTAAATACAGCCTTCTTAGCATTGCTACAAAAATATGAGACGTGTTAAATGTCCGTCTTTCTGTTTTTTGTAATTTAAGGAAGAAGGATCCTCTTCTTCCTTAAAGGATGTACAATCTGCAATAAATCAATATTACAACTCGACGTCTGTTTACTTAATTACATAGAAACAATTTATGTGATTGAAGTTCCAATTAGGAATGTTCGATAAGGTTGTTTGCCCTTGATCCAAGTCCTTTAATATTGCGCATGTGTTGATATAACTGTGTCCAATATAATATTTAGGCTTGCATTAAAATTAGTCAAGCTGATCCAATTTAGATGACATGTCTGGCAGCAGAAAAAGTCTGCATTAAGAAAATACGGGCTGCATCTTTAATGGTTCCCTATAACTTTCTCTACCATGTTCCTCAGTATATTTTATTACATCCCTGGAGAGAGTATTTTCAGTCTGTAAATGTTTGGGGAGGAAGGTTTGGACAGGATTTAGACAGCTACTCTGAAGCAACCATGTGTATGGATATTTCATTAAAACAGCTGGAAGCAGTTTATTTATCTTTTTCAGTGAAGCATAATCTGACATTTTTGAGTTGGGATACTTACAGAGCACTGTGTATTACAATAAAAGGATAGCAATAACAAAATTAAACACAAGCAAACAAAGCAAAACCTAGGACACAAACTAATAAAATACCAACTAAAGCTACCCAACATACCAACAGCAACAACATCAACTATTGAACAGCATCCCAAAGTAGCTCCTTCCACAACTCCAGATGAGGCTGCATAAACATGAGACAGATATGGTGTCCTACTTTTGTGCAGGTGTAAGTCTTCCTACATTAAGTCCTGTGGCAAAGTGTCATTAGCACCCCGACGGAGACGTGAGTCAACACATGCTGGAATAAACCTTATCTTTTGTAGCATGGAGAGAAGTGTGTGACTATCTTCCTGTCTGTGTGTGTTTTTCTCAGACATTTAGAGACCTATTTGTAACCGTGTTCATTAGCAAATAAACCCTTCAACTCGGCCTTACCGATCGGATTCAAAGCTGTTCTTTGGCTGAAGTGGAAAAGCTCACACAATTTGACTGCAACTGGAGCCAGCAGAAAACAACCAATGTCTTTGGATTCATTAAGCTGTGGCCTCAGTTATCAAGTTGGGAAGGTTTAATGATCTGAAGGATTTATTGATGAGTTGGGACAATTAAGCCACAGGCCCGTGTTTTACACAGGGTTATACACATCTATATGCGTCATCAAGATAAATCCACTTTGCTGATTTCATTAAATTTCTAATAGAGGAAAGTCATAGAATTTTCACTATAAATATAAGTCCCAGGTTCTATATTTTCAAAGACTTAAACACGCCCTATTTTGTACTGAGGCTGGGATTTTACTGGCAATGCCACAATTAAACAGTTAATGACTATATTTTATACATTCCTAAATGGTCGATCATCTTTCACCTTTTGTTTATTTGCTGTAGAGCTATAGGACATCTGAGGGTGCAACAACATTGAAGGTATAATTGGTACTGGTTGAAAAATCCATTTGCTTTTCATTTCATGCACCATAATAACCTTCTTTGCATTGGAAATTTAATGTCTCTCTAAATGAGCGTCCTTGCAGTGCAAGATACAATAAAATGTGATGTAGGAATAATTCAAACCACTACATCAATAGAAAACAAACCATATACACAACAGATTGCAGCAAATGAAAATATGCAATGAAGGTTTTCTAGTTGGCAGCTCTTGCCTACAGCGATGATCAGTTTGGCTTTGCCTGTCTGACGTCCTTCTTGTGTCAGCCAATCAGCATCAGATTTTAACAAGCTATCTCTTTCACAGAAATTTAGCAACCTGCTGGCCAGTGACATTCCCTCATAACAAGAGCTTCAGTCAGCAATTGTCAGACATAGCTATTGCTCCAGGCAGTAGCTTGCTTCAATCTGTGTGTGTGTGCTTGTGTGTGTGTGTGTGTGAGGGAAGAGACAGCAAAATCTCCCCTCTCATGCCAGCATAACTACTACTGCTCCACCTCCCCAAGGCCTCCCGCTCACTGGCAGTTTGACTCTCACTGAACACAACTGACAAAAAACAAAAAAACCCACAAAAAACAAAGAAGAATGAAAAAATATGTCCTGCATCGCATTACTATTCTATACCCACAGTCATCTTGTGATAGGCAGCTCTGTTCAAAATCAACAGGGAGGAGAGAGAGAGGGCGAGTGGACTAGAGAGAGAGAGATGGAAACACATCATAAGTAAAAGGATGAGATGGTAAAGAGACAAAAGTGAAAGAGAGGAAGGCCCAAGCACCCTTGGGACTCTTTGTGCGGAGCCGCTCAGGCAGGAATATCGCTGGCCTGTGTAGTGCTCAGAGGAGAAACTAGCAGTCACACATTAAAGCAGAAAGTGAAGGGGTGCCCTGAGGCCCACACACCTAACTGATGTACAATAAAAGATATAAGAAGGCCTGATGCACACATATACACAAGTCTCCTTTCACATTCATATTTTCCTTTTAAAAGGAAAGTCATCCCTCTATACAGAGAGACATTTTGCCTGACACCAACATTTCTGATGCTTGCTAGATGATGCTGATGGTGACGTGTACAGTCTTACCAATCATACTGTTGAGAGAAAGATCCTGAATCCTTTTCTGGTTTGGACCCAGTGGAGCTCCACAAAATGACACAGGGGAGTAGAGCGGCGACAGACCCGAACTGACAGAGAGGGGAAAAGAAAATATTAATTAAATACAGTTTGAAAGAACACATCTGTTATTGAGACCAAGCGCATGGAGAGTGATGAATGAATAGTGCTGGTGCCAATGATGAATGTGATCTGCTGATGAGGGAGACAGCAGCATTTGTAAATGATGACATGTGTACCAATTCCTTGTATTGATTAGATGCTTCTTAATAAAAAGCAGAGATGATGTCTAAAAAAAAAATATTTTCATGACGGCTGCAAACTGTGATGGAGCTTATAAGATCGGGGCTTGACCTATAATCGAACAGGTACAGCAGAGTGAAATATCCCCACTCTAAATAACTCATCTCTACCTGCTCAACACACCGTGACAACACCACCTCACAGAGAGAATGTAACTGGAATTATAATGCATGTCAGTATATCAAACCAAACCATCTTTGTGGGATTTGTATTGGCTTTCAAAGAGGAACACTGAGAATGTTAAAACAATCACAAGGAAGCATGAGATTATTAATTCAGTGTAGTGTGAAAGACGATTGCAAGCATATGAATAGTCCTAAAATAGAATTTGCCTACCCACCTGTCTGCAACTTCAAGCAAATCAATTCAAACAAGACTGTAACAAGACAATTCATCACGATGTGGCAAACAGCACAAGCATGCCATCCCATATTTAATTCAATGCTGTAGATTTCTCGTTTGCCCAAAATAAATTCCTGTGTTGGTTTGCTCACAGGCAGACAAACCTATCTCTGCCTCACACAGGAAGCCAACTTGAGAGAGAAATACAAAACTGTCTCCTCGACAGCAGCAAGGGAGTGCTCCATCAAAGGGAAGCAGGGCTCATCAACGATTGCTAAACTCCGTGCACCCCCTACCTGCACTAGTCACTAAAGAAGAAGACTAAATTTAGCTCAGAGGATTATGTAGTTTAAAGTCAGTTTAAGTCAACTTAGAAAGAGTCAAAGTTTTTAACCAATACCTCTCACTGCCACTGGATAAAAAAAACTGTAATGTAGCTTTGCAGAATTATTTGTGTGTGTGTGTGTGTGTGTGTGTGTGTGTGTGTGTGTGTGTGTGTGTGTGTGTGTGTGTGTGTGTGTGTATACCTAGGATTGGCAGCAGCCCTGCCGGTGTGGGCTTTGAGCTCCCACAGCATGGCTCTGCCGTCACTGACCATTAGCGCGGCATTGTTTTCGTTGACGGGGCAGATAACCATGCGATATGGCCGGACTGTCTTGGTGACCCGGATGGCATCGCACTGAGAACGCAGGTCATACACAAGCTCATGGACACTCTGCTCAGGATCTGAGGGAGAGGAGGAGGGATGGGAGATAAGAGTGGTAAAAAGGTAGAGAGAGAAAAGAAAGGGAAAACAATGAAATGGAGCAAATTGGCGAAGAACACATGAATGGCAGGATACACAAACAAGGAGAAAAAAAAGAGAAATGTGGGAGAAGACATTGAGTGGATTTTAATAATAAGGAGGATAGAGACAGAAGAGAAAGGGAAGTAGATAAGAGTGTGAAAAAGTGCAATTTGGAGACAGGCGAAGACATTTTGTGTAAGTGTGAGAGGACAGGGAAGGATTTAAAGAGATAAGAACAGAAGACAGGAAATAAGACACAAAAGGAAATGGCAACAAAAAAGAAAAATAGAAGAGATAGCAAGGAGAGTAAAGTGAGGGAGATTCAGTGAGACAATGGACTCTCATTGGCCTGCAAGTCTAAGCCTAAGATAAATGAGACAGCAAGAGGCTAAATGCTCACTGGAGCATAGAGAAAGGCTACAGGCTCTGACTGCAGTGCAGTTGAATAGATGGTGACTGGGGGACGGCATGGGAGTGAGAGTGATTTGTGAGCGGGTACAGTACAACTAGCATGTGCTGCATGCGTGTGCGCACTTCTCTGTGAAGAGGTTTCATACCTGATGCTTCCTCTGAAGTGATAGTGGAACGACAAACTCGGAGAGTGATACACCCGTTCTCATGGAGACAGTAGAGGGCGTCCCGCTGAGCGCAGGGAA